TTCTACTTAGTAAGGGTTATAATCCCTAAGCGCGGCCGAAGGCCGCCCACGCAGAAAGAAGTTCTGCCCAAAAATACTTCCGGTCCCCTTTTGCGGCAACACAGAAAGGAGAATTCTACTTAGTAAGGGTTATAATCCCTAAGCGCGGCCGAAGGCCGCCTACGCAGAAAGAAGTTCTGCCCAAAAATACTTCCGGTCCCCTTTTCCGGCAACACAGAAAGGAGAATTCTACTTAGTAAGGGTTATAATCCCTAAGCGCGGACAAAGGCCGCCTACGCAGAAAGAAGTTCTGCGCAAAAGTACTTCCGGCCCCCTTTTCCGGCAACACATAAAGGAGAATTCTACTTAGTAAGGGTTATAGTCCCTAAGCGCGGCCGAAGGCCGCCTACGCAGAAAGAAGTTCTGCGCAACAATACTTCCGGCCCCCTTTTCCGGCAACACAGAAAGGAGAATTCTACTTAGTAAGGGTTATAATCCCTAAGCGCGGCCGAAGGCCGCCTACTCAGAAAGAAGTTCGTTTTCATGTATGCACTATTTCGGTTTTTGTCATATGCATTACTTCGGTTTTGAGTCGAAACTGTGCATGTATGCATTACTTCGGTTTTTGTCATATGCATTATTTCGGTTTTGAACCGAAATTGTGCATGTATGCATTACTTCGTTTTTCTCATATGCGTTATTTCGGTTTTCAAACGAAAGTGTGCATGTATGCATTATTTCGGGTTTTTCATATGCATTATTTCGGTTTTCAACCGAAACTGTGCATATATGCATTATTTCGGTTTTTTTCATATGCATTATTTCGGTTTTCAAACGAAAGAGTGCATATGCATAATTTCGGTTTTTCTTATATGCATTGTTGCGGTTTTCAACCGAAACTGTGCATATATGCATTATTTCGGTTTTTTTCGTATGCATTATTTCGGTTTTTTTCATATGCATTATTTCGTATGCACAGTTTCCATATGCACAATTTCAGGGTGCCACCGCATGTGTGTTGTGAAATACTCTTCCACTTTTACTGAGTACCAAGCAATGTCATTATCAACAGGTACTTTGTAAAGATTAAATGTGAGAACAATGCGGCCATTCGGGACTTTTTCTCTCTTTTGGATTTTGGTGAATTTGTAGACAGCAACAACTCCCTGGGATTTGAGGCCCTCAAGAATTTCTTGTTCGTCCGTGTTAGCAAGGTTAAGGTCAAATATTGTGCCTTTACAAGTATTAAGATTTCCGTGCAAATCTATTGCTTCAAATTACACGTAGAATTACTTCTGCATTACAGAGTTTTTAAGTCAAGATTTGGTAGCAGTCCAGACGAAACTGAACGTGTCAGGAACTCGTATAGACATCGTCTTCGCTGCCGCATATTTCCCGGGAGACAAAAATAACATTCCCCCGATGGAGGCACAGAAGCTGATAGACCACTGCCGGAAGAAGGGACTCCATCTAATCATGGGATGTGATGCAAATGCGCACCATGAGGAGTGGGGTAGCTCGGACATCAACAACAGGGGTGAGTCACTTCTAGAATTCATTGTAGCCAACGACTTAAATATATGTAATGTCGGCAATAGAGCCACATTTGTTACAAGAGTCAGGGAGGAAGTACTAGACATAACCCTCTGCAACAAACTGTCTGAAAATCTGATCTCGCAGTGGGCAGTCTCCTCGGAGCCGTCCCTGTCGGATCACAGGATCATACAGTTTGTGGTGGGGGCCGGTGCCAAAGAAAGGACACCTAGACAGAACCCAAGAAACACAAACTGGGGCAATTTCAGAGTTGTGCTTGAAACGAACCTACGAAACCTTGATCGTAAAAGCAGAGCGACAGATCGTATGGAGTTAGAGGATAGGGTTAACAGGCTCAACGGCGTCTTATTAGATGCCTTCAACAGTAGCTGCCGGGTAGCCAAACCGAAACCCGGCAATCACGCAAAACCTCCGCGGTGGTCTCACGACCTCTCAGCACTCAGGAAAGATGTGCGGAAGAAATTTAATTTAGCCAAAAGAACTGGGTGCTGGGGGGGCTACACCACGAGCCTAACCACATACAATAAAGAGATAAGGAAAGCAAAAAGGGAAAGCTTTAGAAGCTTCTGCGAGAATATAACTTCCACTCCTGCAGCGGCAAGATTGCATAAAGCCTTAACAAAAGACAGGATAGACACCCAACTAGCAATCAAGCTGCCGGATGGCACGTAAACTGGCAGCGAGGAAGAAAGAGCACGTGTCTCTCCACACACTTTCCGGATACATCCGACCGGATCATGGAAATACCTGTTCGGACATTTTGACCAACCTCATCCGACTAGGGCGTTGCGAGGAAAATCTTCTCGAGGGCCAGCGTCGAGTGGGCGTTGGGCTCATTTGATCCGTACAAGTCCCCAGGTGTGGACGGTATCTATCCGGCTTTGCTACAACGGGGGGAGGACTTGGTCATCCCACATTTAGTAGGTTTAATGAAGGACAGTCTAGCCATAGCCAACATCCCGGCAGTGTGGAGAAGAGCCCGGGTAACTTTTATTCCGAAGATAGGAATAGTCAAAAATAGTCATTCAAAAACTGATAAATCTACAAAACCGTATTTTTTAACCTAAATCGACAGGTAGCGACTCCTAAATGACCTTTAAAATATCTATAAAAATAGGCAATAATATTTCTCATAAAAACGAATAAAAATAGAGGGTAGGGTCTTGAAATTTCCAAAAAAAACACATTTTCGATGAGCACCTTAATGTACGTATGTGCGTATGCACATAAATAATTTTTTTTTTTTGTACCTTCGTTTGAAAATATATTAACGGAGTTCAAGATTTGTAGCATTTTAGATGGGTTTTTATCCTATTTGGCCATAATGCGTGGTTTGGTTGAAATAATATGCGCCAGATAGTTTTACGAATATTTGGACCATGCTGTGACAGAACTGTTTGAAAGTGAGCAGTCAAATCAACAGAAGAGAAAAACAGTTTTCAGCTATCCTGGAGGTTAACTCTTGATATTGGCGCAGTAAAGCTAAGCATCAAAAGTTAAAAAAAAATGCTTTCTTAGCACAGCAACAGCAGTTTTTTAGTGTATTTTTTACTTTTTCAAACATTGTTTAGTTCTATAGTAGAGTTTAATTTTATTTGCCAAAAGATTAAATTTATTTGCCAAAGGATTAATTTTATTTGCCAAAAGGTTAAATTTATTTGCCAAAAGATTAAATTTATTTGCCAAAAGATTAATTTTATTTGTGAAAAGATTAAATTTATTTGCCAAAAGACTAAATTTATTTGTCAAATGATTAATTTTATTTGCCAAAAGTTTAACTTAATGTGTCAATGCTATAGAAGGAGCCTTCGACAACACCTCACATGAGGCTGTAAGTCTGGCACTAGAGAAGAGAGGCGTACAGGCACCCATTCGAAGATGGATAGAAGCGCTGCTACGATCTAGAATAGCAGAGACCACCGTGGGGAATGGCTCCATACAGCTAAAGACCACAAAAGGTTGTCCAAAGGGAGGGGTATTATCCCCCCTCCTCTGGAGCCTAGTAGTAGACGAACTCTCTCAAACGCTATCAAACAATGGAATCCGATGTCAGGGATATGCGGACGACATAGTCATAATAGCAAGAGGGAGATTCGAGAGTACCTTATTTGACATAATTCAAAGGGCATTAAGAATAACAAGGAAGTGGTGTGTAAGTGTGGGTCTCAATATAAACCCAACGAAAACAGCCATTGTCCCATTCACACGAAGAAGAACCC